AGAGAGAGAGAGAGAGAGAGAGAGAGAGACCCGTCCATGTCCCCCTAATAACTTCATCATAGTAAGAGAGTGAAGAAAAAAATGGAGGAAAAAACAAACAAGCAAGACAGTGAGCGAAGGGAGACAACTACTGGCAGGCAGCAGCATCTGTGGACTGTGATTACGCGAGAGCTGAGGTGGAATGACGTAATCTTCCTGTGACCCATTTCACACACATTGGCTACTAATGCCAGTCGCGGACTGCAATTTGCTGGATGACGTGTGATTTCAAAATCTTCGCACTGGTCCTAATCTCCTAATCCTGATCCCACAACTCTCTTGATCCGCTTAGGTTTTTAGTGTAGTTTTAGTAAGGTTGTCCACACTGTTTTATGCACACAAAAAAAGAAAAAAAAACATCTGAAATTACACAAACTGAGCCCAAAAATGTGAAATTATGCGATTCTGTTTATTGTAACAAAGAATGGTAAAGATAAAAAAATCAGAAATTATGCGAAAAATGATCAAATTTTGCTACATTATGTGGGGTACATAAACCCCCGGGGACAGGTAAGGTTTTTACGGCGCTCGTAACTGCATAAGGTCATATATGGGTGCCATTTTTCACACATTGTGGGGAAAGTAAACAAAAACGGCGACTTGCGTGGTTGGCGGGTGCTCTGGTGATGTTCGCACCTTCCTTCCTGTCAAACAACTATCGTCCTAATCTAGCTCTCCTCCTTCTTCTATTTGCATGTTACTCTCTTTTCGCTAATCTCTGGCACATTGTTATAGACTTATTGAAACAAACAGGGGACGAGGGTGGTTGACGGGTGCTCTGGTGTGGTTCGCACGTTCTTTCCTGTCAAACATTACCGTCCTAATCTCTCCTTCTTTTATTTGTATGGTACTCTCTTATAGTTTAACATTAATTTGCTAGTCTCGGGTACAGTGTTTTAGTAAACAAATATTTTGGGACTTGGGTGGTTGGTGGGTGCTCTGGTGTTGTTTGCTTCCTCTTTTCTATCAGACACCCATCGTCCTAATCTCTTCTCCTTCTTGTATTTGTATGGTACTATCAAGTCGCAATACCTCTGAACTCCGGCATTGGTATGACCTGTTTGTTTTGCAAGTGCCGTCAAGCATCTTGCTATTAAAGCTTTAAAAATAGAGGTGATTGGGGGGGGTGCAATCTAAAACTGGCTGTGAGAAACGACAGAAACTGGTGGCTTCCTTGATGCTTGTAGAAGATGAGTTTGATTCCTTCCTGGGTGAAAAAGACTATGTTAATGATTATCTCCATATTTCTGTTGGATTGTGCACATTAAACTGTTCCACACGCAATCCGGGTTGATCCGGTCTAAGACCACCACTTTTCTCCTTGACAATGGGTGTCCGTCTTAGACAAGTTTGACTGTATTCCCGATGGGAAAAAGTAGCATTTCAAAACACACAGTCAAAAATTACTCTCGGACACGTCATAGCAATAGGATTTTTAAAATGGACTGGCTGTTTTCTTTTTAAAAAACTTGGAAGGGTTTCAATTTTTCAATTTTCTGACACTGGGGAAAAGTGTTTGTACGTTCGTAGAGCAAAACTGCGTTTAAATGACTTTATACATGTATTGCTGACCAATTTATAAAAGTAAGCGCTGTGTAACTATACGATGTGTATGTGTGTGTGTGGTTT